ACCTGTGTTTTTCCTCCCTCTTTCTTCACTGTCGCCTCCATTGTCAGGTTTTCTCGATTGGCAATCACTTCCAATCGACTCCGCAACACTTTCCAGTAAAATACTCGCTCAAAAACGTTGAGAAATTCGACTTTGAAAAAATGAACGGTGGTGAATGTAAATAGTGCGGCGGCGTCCATCTCGTGACGTCCCGCAGTAGATCGCAAGCCACGCCCACGAAGGCGGAGGTCAACTGCAGATTTCCAGGCGGCAAATTCAAAACTCGTCAAATTCATTGCTATTCCAACATCTTTTGATATGGGTTCAATAGACAATTTTGGTCATTACTATACATATTAGCATAACAGATCATGCACAGGTGCACACTTCACTGGGCCTTTAAGCATTATATTCAGAGACAGTTATACAAGGTGCCCCTTTCATAATGTACCTCTAATGGACCCAAGTGTCTGGCTCACTGAAGCATGTTGTCATATGATTGACTGCTAAGTGAATGTTTGATCTTCCACCACCCGCAGGGCGTTTCGACAGGGAAGTGGACATTGGCATCCCTGACGCCACCGGCAGATTGGAGATTCTCCAGATTCACACCAAAAACATGAAACTGTCTGACGATGTTGACTTGGAACAGGTTTGTACACATTTTATTCTGTGCAGTCGGGTGACACCACGAAACACACTGCTTCCCTGAAGAGAGGAGTCACATGGTTATTATCACTGCCTCTTAAGTGAAAGGGAAATGTCTTAAACTGTCAAAAGGTTTACTTCATATCTTGTATAAAGGACTGACGTCATTTTAAGGCAGTGGCATCCGAGATGTTCAGTACAATGTCAATCTTTAAATCTGAGTGGTCGTATACAAGCAGTAATATTGTTCTTCTATAGGTTGCCAATGAGACCCATGGACATGTTGGTGCCGATCTGGCTGCTCTGTGCTCCGAGGCCGCCCTGCAGGCCATCAGGAAGAAGATGGACCTGATCGACCTTGAAGATGAGACCATTGATGCTGAGGTCATGAACTCCCTTGCTGTCACTATGGACGACTTCAAGGTAAGAGCTGTTGTAGAGTTTACAGTGAGAGCACATGTGTTCCTTCAGAGCCCACACTAACATGCTCAACGTTGTCCTGCAGTGGGCCCTGAGCCAGAGCAACCCATCAGCTCTGAGGGAGACGGTTGTCGAGGTTCCCAACGTCACCTGGGAGGACATCGGCGGTCTGGAGGACGTCAAGCGGGAGCTGCAGGAGTTGGTGCAGGTATGGAGATCTTTTAAAATGTCAAATGTATCAAAAACGGTTAATTTAAATGTGTTTCCCTGACTATGTTTTTCTCTCCGTCTTTAAATTCAGTACCCAGTGGAGCACCCGGACAAGTTCCTCAAGTTCGGAATGACCCCATCCAAGGGCGTGCTGTTCTATGGTCCCCCTGGTTGTGGTAAGACTCTCCTGGCTAAAGCCATCGCCAACGAGTGCCAGGCTAACTTCATCTCCATCAAAGGACCCGAGCTGCTCACCATGTGGTTCGGAGAGTCTGAGGCCAACGTCAGAGAGATCTTCGACAAGGTGAGGATGTGCTCGGGAGTGTCTGCCATAAGACCTGCTGAGAGAAATGAAATGTGTTGTCCCCCCCATGCTCCCCTCTAACTGAGATCGTTCTGTGTGATGTTCCCAGGCTCGTCAAGCAGCCCCGTGCGTTCTCTTCTTTGATGAGCTGGACTCCATAGCCAAGGCTCGTGGAGGCAACGTGGGAGACGGAGGCGGAGCAGCCGACCGTGTCATCAACCAGATCCTCACGGAGATGGACGGTATGTCCAGCAAGAAGAACGTCTTCATCATCGGAGCCACAAACAGACCAGACATCATCGACCCCGCCATCCTGAGACCCGGCCGCCTGGATCAGCTCATCTACATCCCCCTGCCCGACGAGAAGAGCCGGATGAACATCCTGAAGGCCAACCTCCGCAAGAGCCCCATCGCCAAGGTGACAGTGCTGCCACTCAGGGTTCTTACGGTCATTGAAAACCTGGAAAAGTCATGGAAATTCAAAATGCTAACTCCAGGCCCTGGTTGGAGCATTACTAAGAGAGAAATGCTGTCACGTTTCTTAACTTATCCTGTTTGTAATTTCTTTAAATGTGTCAATAGGATGTGGACCTGGAATTCCTGGCAAAGATGACCAATGGCTTCTCTGGAGCCGATCTGACCGAGATCTGCCAGCGGGCGTGTAAGCTGGCCATCAGAGAGAGCATCGAGAACGAGATCCGCAGAGAGAGGGAGAGGCAGACCAACCCGTCAGCCATGGTCAGCTCCTGTTCTGCCGCTAATCACATCATACCTGCTCTACTGCTGTGTTTCTGATCGGAGTAAGTCTCTGCAGTGTAATAACTCTTCACTTTGTTCCATAGGAGGTGGAAGAGGACGATCCTGTGCCCGAAATCAGGAAGGACCACTTTGAGGAGGCGATGCGATTTGCTCGTCGCTCCGTCAGTGACAACGACATTCGCAAATATGAGATGTTTGCTCAGACACTGCAGCAGAGCCGTGGCTTCGGCAGCTTCAGGTACGTTTCGGACATGTCGTACGGATTGGATTGTGTAGACTAGGGCTGCTCAATTAATCCTATTTTAGTCTCGATTAAGATTTTGGCTTGCAACGATTATGAAAACGACATCATTGAAATAAGACGATTATTTTTATTGGTTTTTCAGTTGAATTATACTTAAAGTTCAGTTAATCAACTGTCAAAAACATACTGTTCAAATAATTGTTTTCATTAAATGGATGTTTTCAAAGTAAATGGATAATCGTTTTTAATAATCATGATATCAATTATTGACCCAAATAATCGTGATTATGATTTTTGCCATAATCGCTCAGCCCTAACATGCATTAGAAATAATCAATATGTTTTCCCTGAAACACTGACGACAGCAAATGATTGTTACTTCACATTTAAAATGCTAAAACGTTCCTAAATATTTGATGATGCCGTGTCAAAGATCATTTCCCCAGTACACATGTGAAGTGACTCTTCATCCTCCTCCAGGTTTCCCACCGGCACTGCAGGCGGCAGCGGGCCAACCCAAGGCTCAGGAGGAACTGGCACCGGCCCAGTGTTCAATGAAGACAACGACGATGACCTTTACGGATAAATGTACACTGCCCATCAGTGGTCAGTACCGGGATCACACCTGTACAAATTCTCACCAGATTCCACCTTTTTAGGACTTTGTGCTTCTTTCATGTGTTCCTTTTTTTTGTATGACTACCCTTGGAGAAAGCATGTAGCCGCTTGGTTTGCCCTGGCTTTGATGTGGGTGGGGGTTAGGGGATGTTGGATCTGGAAGGTGAGTGACTGAGGCAGATTTAGGAGGGAATTTAGGGGAGGGGGGTGGGGGTCAGTATATCACAACCAACATGAATGGCTTTAGTGACGGGGTTCTATGCTAGACTATAAGAAAGAAAAGAAAAAAACATATTGCTTATGACTTACTCTTTTTTTTTTTTTTAAATAAACAGTAGCATATAATGTATTACAAATTTGTCAAAGTTATGTTGTTGAAAATAAAATCTCACAAAATGGAAGTGTTATCGGCGTCTAAAAGTTCTTTATTGATAAATGTGCATCGTCACTGATTTAGCATATTTACGTTTTCAATCTTAAGGTTGTTCAAGTCCTTTTTATTTAACAAATGAAATATCAGGTTTTAAACACACGTGTATAATTCAGTGCTTCTCATATCATATTGATTTGATTCTTGCTTGTTTCCATCCTCAGCGCCCCACATGAATAAAAATGGTTTTATTGTACATATTAGATTACATTTAGCTGACGCTTTTAACAATAAGTGCATTCCACCAAGAAGATACAAACTTGAATATAAGTACATCAGGTTTCATAGAGCCAAAACATTTCAAGTGCTACTCAACTGGCTTTAGATAACCCAGTCCTTTATTAGTATTGTTAGTCATTTTATTGCTCGAAGTGGAGTCGGAAGATGAGTTTTCAGTCTGCGCCGGAAGATGTGTAAGCTTTCTGCTGTCCTGATGTCAAGGGGAGCTCATTCCACCATTTTGGAGCCAGGATAGCAAACCCACGTGTTTTTGCTGATTGTACATTTTGTCTCTTTGGCAAAGTTTAACATTAATTGGACTGAATTATCTTGTGAATTAATGTTGGCCACCATAATGAATCGGTTTTTAAAGTGTGCACACACATAGTAATGGTTTAATTTGAGTTTATTACGTATTTTTCACAATAGTACATGTATATCATAGTTACAGCAGTTCCATAAAGGAAACTTGTAGAGCAGGGGTGTCAAACTCAAATACACAGTTGGCCAAAATAAAAAAATCTGTACTAGTCGAGGGCCGGACTGGTTCAATGTTTATTGCAAAACTTATTGAAATGAACTTATTGCACATATTAAACCTGGAACTAAC